TGTTTTTGAAGAAAAGGATCACATTTTCATATTAGTGTGAGTCCAACTCAGGACCTTCTTCCTGTGAGGCAAAAGTGCGCGACAGACTTTGAATGGCCAGCAGGGGGCGTCCTCAGTGGTTGCAAATAGAGTTCCAGTTTTATGGGGCTCGTGTTTCTTGCCCCGTGACCTAAACACTTTCCTGACAATTTTATGGGTTTCATGTTTACTTTTAGATTATATTATGTAGAAGATATGTTCAATATTAGCAGAAATTATTATTATTGATTATAGATAATAACCCTATAACCCTAATTATAGAAATTATGGATTATTATTATTATCCAGGATCTGCTCACTGGATTTGTCAACATCAACGTTTTAGTGGATTTCACAGTGAAACTCTGTTTATGGTTTGTATCTGCAGTCGTGTTCACTTTGCACCCAGAACTCATGACCTCTGTGAGGGCTGGAACACAGCTGGGCAGGTGTTGCCTTCAGCTCTGCTCCTCACACTGCATCTAACATCTAACAAGCTTTTTAAAACATGTCTCGTAAATGAAATAAGACCTCTGATTTCACATAAACTCTGATGTCAATTTACATTTTATGTTGTGGGGTAACTTTACTAACTATAGCTACACACAACAGTACAACATCTAAAATGTTTTCTGTACTCAGATTCATAAACCTTCAAATGTATGACAGCAGCATTGTTTTTGTGCACACTACAAAATCAGAAAGAGGCCCACACAATTATTGCACTGTGTGAAATTCTTGGCTCGGATGGTATCACATTGTTCCCAGATAGATCAAACAGACAAAGAAACCACTGTGATCTACAAACAAATGAGTCTGAGAGTCTTGGTGAAAGACTGATCTGGCCATGTGTGCCAGATCTGCAGCTCCGTCGGTGTTATTACGCTTAAACATTATTACCAAAAAGCTCGATTTCAGTCATTTATCGTCTGTAGCAACGATTGATTTAATGTCAAAGTATGTGGTTCATTAAAATAAATTCATGAACATCTAGGTTGAAACCAATTAGAGAAGCTAATGAGACAGTGGATCTTTGGCTCGCTCCCCGTGGTTTTTATCTTTTTTAATTATCTGCAGGGTTGGATTGACCCTCCAGAAGAGTCACTGACCCATCATTTGTCCCACCGTTACAGTTTGTATGCATTAATTTGCAGTTTCTGATCATTTATCATAATGTAATTAAGCACAAATATGGCAGTAAATACATTTTTGTTTACAGCAGCATTCTTGTGTGGTCAATTACAAATGCAATCAATCCAAAAGCTCAGACAGCTTTTAAAAGCATTTGAAAGCTAAAAATAGAAATGAGGGCAGACTGCCGACTGTGCAAAGTGGGCAATTCTCCACACTGGTTCACGCCCTGAAGGGCTCTGTAAGCTCAAAGCCCACTGTGTAATTTTCTCACTGCAACTAATTACAAAAAAACATTAGTTTGTTAATCTGGTGTGCACCATTAGAGCACAGGAAGTTGATAAAGCCTATTAAGTGGGATATTCCTTATTAGCTACCTGGAAGCACCAGCTCATGATGAGGAGTCAAAATCTAGTTCATATTAAGTTGTTTAGTAATTAATGTTGTTTTTGTTCATATGCACCTGGTCCCCTTACCCCATTAGCCAGGGTAGGGATTTATTTATTTATTTATTTATTTATTTATTTGTTTGTTTGTTTGTTTATTTGGACAAACACTAAAAACACTTTAAGAAACTAGAGCATCCACATACTTTTTGAGCCATGCTTGACGAGTTAAATCTTGATTAGGCAGGTTAACAGTCTTAATATGACACGAGAAGAAAAGTCATAGAATAGAATAGAATAGAATAGAATAGAATAGAATAGAATAGAGCATTTCCATCCTTGTAGGTTGCATTGATACAATATAATGATAGTAATTCTCAGACCTCCTCAGCCTGAATAGTGTGAACTTGTTTATCTGCAGTGAATAAGAAAGTGTGCCTTCCTGTCACACCGTTTACAAAGCAAACTCAAGCTCAGGGTGCAGAGCAGAGAAAGGTTTCGTCCACAGTGAGCAAGCACAGAACCATCGAAGCTCAAAACTAACGAGGTGGGAACCTGCTCCGCTCTCTCTCTCTTTTCAAATCCAGGTGAGCTGCGTCATCGTGAAACCAACACGTTGTCCACGTGTTGTCTCCCCATTAAAAGACCCCGTCTCACTGCTTCCTGTCTCCACGCTCTCTTCCAGGAGGTGTTGCTGTCCCTGTAATCCACACTCTCAGTCCCGGCCTCCATCGTGCTTCACTCAAGCCATGACTGCCTTTAAGGGCATCTGGACGAAGGAGTTCTGGCGCTGTGTGGCGGCGGAGTTCTCTGCCATGCTGATCTTTGTCCTGCTTGGCCTCGGTTCAACCATCAACTGGGGCACCGAGGATCCCCACCCCCCCGACCTCGTGCTCATCTCTCTCTGCTTCGGCCTGACTATTGCCACCATGGTGCGGTGCTTCGGCCACATTAGCGGGGCTCATATCAATCCAGCGGTCACAGTAGCCATGGTCGTGACCAGGAAGCTGAGCCTGGCTAAAGCAGTCTTCTACCTCCTGGCCCAGTGCGTGGGGGCCACAGTCGGGGCGGCCGTACTGTACGGGATCACCCCCGCCTCTGTCAGGGGTGGGATGGGAGTCACTGAGGTGAGAGCAGGAGTGTGTGTCTTTACATGTGTGACAGTTTCATTCCTCACTGCCGACCTTTTGCCCGTGAATACAGTAATCTGACTACATGCTCACACAGGTGAATGAAAGTATCTCTGTGGGCACCGCCCTGGTCGTAGAGCTCTTCATCACCTTTCAGCTGATCTTCACCATCTTTGCCACCTGTGACCACAAACGTAAAGACCTCAAAGGTTCATCTGCTTTGGCTATCGGCCTTTCTGTCTGTGTTGGTCACCTGTTCGCTGTAAGTACCCAGACACCTGTGCAGTTAGCACTGATTCATCGTGATGTGGGAGAAACTCAGTCGTCACTGTAATCATGAACAGCTTATTATGTGAAGTGGCACATGTTTAAGATGACTTACAAACCTCAGTTCACCACAGAGTGGATACGACACTTCACCCTTTGGTTTGAGGGGAAACCTGAAGCATGCTGTGTTAACTCATAAGTGTTATGTAATAATTCTTCAGCAGAAAATATTCAAAGAGGAACCAACAGCATAAAGAGGAAGGTCCAGTTTAGTCTCTCACGTTACTGCAGCTGATGAAGCCACAAAAGCCAACCTTCAATTATGTGATTAACTGTTTATAGTGTAG